TTTGAAAACATGAGGACCTAAGTTTTTTTTTTGTTTCCCCTATAAATCAACCTCGAAGGAGCTAAAATACATAGAATGAGTTTCTTTTAACCTTATATAACCACCATAAACTTCTTAACAACTTTTAGCATTATATATATTGAGTTCTATCTAGTCTCAACATCTAAGCAAACTATCACAACTAATTTTCAACCTCCCCACGTATTAGTTAAATACAAGTTGTCTAGAAAGAGAAGATCTAGCAAACCTTATCATATTCCAAATCGTAATTGCTAAATAATCAATATCTTTCAATCTTAGCTTACAATAAGATTAACAATATATAAACAATATATAACATGCATGAAATCATTTGACAAGATATTATTTACCCAACCATTTATTACTCTTTTCAAATATTTGATAGTTAAGTTATTTGAACTTGCATTATTTATTGTAACTATTTAAATGTTATCAATTCCTCATTCAATAAACAACTCTTAATTGTTTGGCTAATTGTTTCACTTTATGATTAGAAATTTGATAAAAATTTAGAATTTTTTTATACAAGTTCGAACCATCATCAATCATTTAGCCAATTGTTTCATTTATGATTACAAATTTAATAAAAATTTAGAATTCTTTTATTCAAGTTTGAACCATCATCAATCTAATGAGTAATCAAACATACATGATTAGTAGTTTAGATCGATGTTCAAGTACCGGTTGTTAAACATACTTTTTAATCCTTAAGAGCTTTATTTAATTAAGTGTTCTCACTTGTATAAATCTTCAAACAATCTCTCAAAATCATCAAAAAGAAGAAATATCAAATTTAGGTTGCATTATTGATAAAAATGATTTAAATCCATGGTTATTTACAGGGTTAAAAGGTAGTTTATCAAGTACAATTATTTTTTATAAGGCTTTTGTACACTCATCATAATTATAACTAACTACTTTAATAGTCAACACATCTTCTTCTCCCTTGTCACCCCCTATTATTTTAGGCTTAGGTTCTAAAACCAAAGTTTTTTTTTTATGCTTCAGATGAGTCACAAAATCAAATTTTCTACATATAACTTGATGACTTCATATGTTACTTATCCCTTTAAATATAATATCACAAGTATAATCCTTTTCACAATACATATATGCGGCCTTATGAGCTTTAGGATCATCCTTAAGTTTATTAAAGTGATCATAAATGAGGCAATTTTTTTTATTAGATCTATAACGTGGATAATTATTACCTTCATTATTACTATTTATATGAAAGGTGGCAGCCGGAACAGAAGAAGGATTGGGCTTCAAACTTGAAAGATTTGATTTCTTTGGTGTAGGATTTTTCTTATTATTCATTAAAAAAATATGAATTAGCTAATGATTAACAATAAATATTAATGGTAGTTCACATACTAAAAAACCCTAAAAATCACAACCACCTAAATGAATCTAGCATTAATAAAAGAGAAACCTTTTTTTTTTTTTCTAACACAACGTATTATGAAAATTATGTTACTAGTTGTCTATGATTTCTAGACTATTTTCAAGGACCCAATTTTATTGAATAAATTGAAATAAATCATGAATTAAGGTTTTGATTTTGTTTATATAATTCATGTTTAAAAACTCAATTGTTTATGAGCAATCACACACAAAAGAGAATGGGAGAGAAATAAAAGGGACCATTAAATCAGCTAATGAAAAGATTAAAGTTAGGTTTCATTTGAATAATATGAGTTTATGCTATACTTGTTTGACATACCATTAGTAGATCCTCTAACCTTGACATTTGTTGTTATCATTATTTAATCATTACGTTAATCTTCCATCTAAAAGTTCTTATTAACTTCTTCTTCTTTTTCTTTACTACTACTACTACTACTACTACTACTACTACTATTATTATTGTTACTTCTGTTGTTGTTGTTGTTGTATTATTGTTATCTATAATTTATATAATTAACCTCTTTGTGATTTGACCCCGGTCTTGTCGTGTTATTTATTACTTCGACACTCCTGTACTTGGGAAAAGATATCAATTCTTTGGTCGTGTCACATCATTGTATAATTACCAAATCAATTAAAACTCTCCATTAAAGATAACAACATTTAAATAAAAAAAACATAGAGATAATGTTTTAAAAGATAAAGGGTGCCTAAACTAAGTAATAGAATTTGGCTTAAAAGTGTAAGGTTGAGGAAGTAACAATAGACCTCCCCTAGTTTCCTTGTCTTCTAACAACCGTCATGATGTCTTGTTCAAATAGCTTATCTATATGCTTCTCCTATTAAAAAAAGCAATAAATTGAAATTATTAACAATAACAATAATGAGATTTTATCATTTTAATCAAAGATTACCCAAACAAGTGTACAATAGTCCAATTCCTCTTAAACTCAGTGAAATGATCAAAAAATTGATGTCTTTTTTCAAGTGTAAGAGTGTCGAAGTAATAAATAACTCGGCAAGACCGGGGTCAAATCATAGAGAAGTTAATTGTATAAATTATAGATAATAACAATACAACAACAAGAGTAGTAGTAGTAATAATAATAATAATAATACTAGTAATAAAAGTAGTACTAATAATAATAATGAAGAAGAAAAAGAAGAAAAAGAAGAAGAAATTGATGAGAACTTTGAGATGGAAGATTAATGTAAGGATTAAATAATGATAACAATAAATGTCAAGGTTAGAGGATGCACTAATGATATGTTAAACAAGTATAGTATAAATTCTTATTATTCAATTGGAAACCACACATAAAGGAGGTTCCAATCAAATTATAAATTGTTAGCATGATTACATTAGTTATCTTATTTGATTAATGCTAATACTTTTAAATCTCGTCAGGCATTCATGATTATAACTTATGTTAACAACAAATCAAGTTCCTTTCAT